TCAGAGATTTTTGGAGTGAAGTTCTCATCTAAAAGAATGTTGTGAGGCTTGATATCAAAATGCAAGATCTGCATATCACAACCTCGGTGTAAATACTCTATCCCACAAGCCACTCCTAGAGAAATCTTGTATAGATTTTCCCAACCCAAAGTTGCAGTATTGCCTTCTCTTGAGAAAATATGTTTATCAAGAGACCCATTTGGCATGAAGTCATACACAAGGGCACGTTTTGATCCTTCAACACAAAAGCCAATCATTTGTACCACATTGACATGGTGAATTCTTCCAATGGTGGCAACTTCATTGAAAAAATCTTGCCCTGTAGCTTTGGATTTGCCCAACGCCTTTATTGCTGCAAAGCGACCACTCTGAAGCTTTGCTTTGTAAACTTGACCAAAACCTCCTTCTCCCAATTTCTCCTTAAAACCATTGGTCATCTTCTTGATCTTTGAGTAAGAATACCTTATAGGCATGAGGTTGTTGTTACTTTGCAAGAATTCTTCAATAGAATTATACATGGATAAATGCCTTCTCCTCCATTTGAAAACTAAAAATATGATGAAACTTGGAATTCCAGGAACAACTACTAGACCATGCCAGCAACTAAAAAAAAAAAAAAAATCATTATTTTTTGCCATAACATTATATTGATTTACATACTGTTTTTTGTTTTTGGTGAAATAATTCAGGTAAAAGATTTATATATTGTATTGTGTGCTCTGTTTCTTGACATTTGAATTTTAGAGTGCTTATATTCCACCTTTAAGACAGCTAGAGAGGCTTTGGAAGAAGGATCGTTGTCAGACAGCAAGCATTAGTGCTTTACTATTTTTTGTGTTTTTGCCTTGTAATTAATCTTTGGCTTTTTGTTAATAATCAATCATCAGTAAATTGGTAACAAATAGGCAATCATCATATTCATGCTTCGTAATTGATTAATAAGAGGCACTTACTCCATCCATTTAATTCCAACAATGACATAAGAAACTTTGCATTAACTTCTAGTAATTGAGATTTTATGGAAGGACTTAATCGAGGAGATGATAAATATTTCTTAAAAAAATGATATCAACTTATTGTAGTGGAAGAAATTTGATAAAAGAAAAAACCAATTATGTAGGGATGATTGTTGTTAAAAAATAATATAAAAAATAATATTGTCTGTTAGTAGTGATCATCCGCATTTGGTTAGTGACAACAATTATATATCTCAGTTGCATTCATTTAACCAAATTTTATTCTTGCTTCATATGTATAATATAATTAAACAAAATGTCGATTAGGGGTACTTACTAAGTACGGATCCAACTGTACTGATGAAATAGTCGTAAACTGGATTGTCTGCATGAAGTAAACAAAATTAGCCAAAACCTTTTGCCACTAAAAAAAGATACGACCAAGAAATGAAAAGGCATCTGCACAATTGGAACTCAAATCAAGAGAATTTGTTTCTAAAGTACCGTAAAAGAAAGAATGAGCACACTGGTTTTCCTCATTAATGTGGAAACCCGTCTTTCCACATGAAGCATACCTCCACGACAACTCAATTCCATATGCTAACCAATGGTGGATGTCCAGGTAGGAGAGGTTCTCGTAATTCTTCTCCCGTATGAAAGGTGTAAGTGCCATTAGCTCAATACGGCATGAGGGTTTTAACTCAAGTGCAGTTGTCCTTCCGACTTTCACATAATAATACCTGTTGCCTTCAGATTTAGGCCTATAAGGTGTGGAGAAAGAGCTGTCATTAATGCAGGCAGGAGCTTCCACATAAAGAGGATCACTTACAAGATTTCGACAAGTTATGAAAAGCAGGCTCTCCCAAACATAAACATCATTTGTATAAAAATAATAATAATAAGGATAATAAGAATAATATTGTGAAAACGTTGAGAAGTTAGAGGCGCCCCAGGAGTATTGAGGTATGGAGCAGCTCCCTTCCTCAACACTAGCATCAGCTACTCGAATTGTTTGATTGTCATAATTGATTGCTTTCACGTAGAATTTTCTTGATTGATCAGAGTACAATACAGTAAGGTTGTTCTCACAGAATAGAGTATAGACTGGATCTGCAGTCATTCCGCAGGAATTAGACGGATCTGTGTTTAATCTGAAAGGGTAGCTAATATTCGAATTATTTCCACAAGAAGAAGGTGGACAATAATGTTTATCTTTGGCACTGCAGGTCTCATGAATTAAGGCGAGAAGAAGAAAAGCGACAAAGATGAGGCCTGGACTAGGCATGGAGAGGGCCGGGGCAAAAGGGGGCAAAAGGGGGCAAAAGGTGTCGGCAACTTTCAGGTCTTTAAACAGAGTCTAATGGTTTACAGAAGAATTACTAATTTCTTGGCCTTAAAATAACCACACACTCTCCACCATCCAACATTTGATCACCAGACTTTTTTTGAATTGAAGTTACATGTTCACCAGATTTTGGACTATTATTTATTTTGATTTTTTCGAACGCGGAAAATCATCATCAATTAAATTGAGACAGTTGTGCCTGGCCCCAGTAATGACTTTTCTCGATGGTTTGCTTTTAGATGATGCTTAATTACGTTGCACCTAGAGGTTCACTTTCTTGGTAACTTGCAGAGCATTGACTATAACAATCAACTTTAGAATTTTGGGTACAAATGGATACATCACTTACCCCACCCACATTGCTTGAATTTTCTCTTGAACCTTCAAATAATATGGGCGCTGCTCTGCTTCTGATATCGAGAAGCATTTTAATGATGATGGTTTCTTTGGAGTTTTTGGGTATTGGTGTTTGGAAATTTGGAATGGGTCCGGTGAATTGATTTAGAGGGTAGATATTGCTTGGCACGTGAATTCAACACAAAAAATTAAGAAGCCCAAGGAACTTAGGTTTGGCGGATTTGCTTGGTAATTGGCGGAAGGTGTGTTTGGGTTTTTTTAATACGTGATTCATAGGTATAAATTAATGGTTTTTTTTTATTAATTATTATTAAAAAAATAAAAGTTAATTTTTATTTTTTAATATTAATTAATAATAAAAATATATATATTAATTACATTTTAATTTATACATTCAAATATTTATTATTATTATTATTATTATAGGAGTGCTTACCGGATGCGGCAAAAGCCAAATAGCCTCTTACCTTGATAAGTTGGACGGTTTTGGTTCATCACCTTATAATATAACGGTTTTAGCCCTTAACCTATAAGAATGGAAGAAAATATCCCATTTTTGTAACTTTCGTCATAGGGCTGTTACCTCCTGTCACTTCCGTTACTTCCTCCGTTAATATTTCCGTTAACTTTGTCCTGCTTATATAATAAATTAAAAAATGGGAAAACTTATCCAAGAAGCCTGCTGCATTTTTTTT